ATTGATACAAATTTTCAGCAATACTTTTTGGAAATGACATTGGAAAGCATGGTTAGCCGTTTTCTTCTAAGGAAACATACATTGACTGATTATGCAGCTCTACATTCCATTGAATTTTACAAAATCTTTTTCTTTTAACAATTTTTCTGGAAAATACTATTCTCAAGTCTACGAGAATATTTGCTAAACTGCTTCATACATAACAAATTTCTAAAATTAAAATAAAACTCTTACCTCAACTCTACAATAGTTAACAGTGATATTAAAAACATTAAAACACAATTATATTCATTAGAAGATAAATTGTTTGGCAGGTTTCAGAGAATACTGAATTTTAAATAAATACAGAAATATAGCATGTGCTGGCCTACTGCTTGTCTGCATAAGCCCCATTTTCATGGAGTCCCTCATACTAAGAAATGTCTTTGTGAGATACATTCCTAAGTATAACAATTACTTTTAACATCACTTGTATATTTGGTCAAGAACTCAAAAATATTTAATCTTTCATACACAAAAAAGACAGAAAGTTAAGATAATAATTCTGAACACTGTCTCTATAGAAGAATGCCATTGAAAAAAAAAAAAAAAAAAATTGCTGATACTTGCCTTGGTCACAGCTCGATTTATCAGGGCACACTCATCGTTAGGATCCAGACTTATGGCTTTGTTAAAATATTTCAGTGCCTGAAAATCACAAGATGAAATATCTGAGAAATCTTTGAGTCAAGATACAGATAATAACATCATTAATATACAATAGCACTTACATTTTAAAATACTTTTTACATAACTCATAAACTCTTCTGCATTTGCCAAAGAATGTTTCATGTGAAAATAGACAAGTGCAATAAATGTCAGTTTTATACTCTCTTAAATATTTGAATTTTTCTTTATTGCTCTCTTTCTCGGAATTTTTGTTTATTGCCCTTTTTCTTGGAATTTTTATCAAGTGCGAATAACTGTAAGCTTAAAATACAAATCACATCTCGTTTGTAACAAAATTTATTTCTTTGAATTTGTGAAATGCACTGTTATCATAATCATAAACAAATTTATTCAATTTCATGTCCTTATCTACTTAGTTATAATGGCAATGTTTAGCTCCCTTCAGTTACTTGTTGCATTTTTACATACAGAGATAGATTATCATAATACTGTACATGATGATATTTTGTATTAAATCTTCATAGTTAATTTGCTTTCTATTTGTTCCGATGAGAATATATATTTCACTGATTAAGAGGTAAATTTCATATGTTTAAACAATGCTAACACAACCAAGTTGAACGTTCACCTACAGACGTTATGACAGCTTAACATGTTTGCGGATACTTTCAAGCTCCTTATTCTCCAGTGTTTATTTTTATTATGAATTTATATTCCCAGACGTTGGTGACTCCCATCTTTTCTCATTCTTCATGATCAGCCATAACTAATTTCGTACTTTCTATGGCTTACCAATAATTTTTCTACCTAAATTTTTTAAAAGTTAAGCTATGAAATATTTCCTTTACAAGCTCTGTAACAACTGCATAGGATACTGTACATGATCCTCTCTGAGAGTGGAACAGCTTTTGAATACTGTCTTATGTTTTATTTGGATGACAGATCCTCCTTTCTAACATGCTTATGATGTAATGAGACATTTGCAACTTGCTGGCTTGGGTTCTTCACACTCATGTCATATTGACAGGATAGACGTTACTCTGAAAGATGGGGTTTCACCTGAGTTTTGCTTGCAGCTGTAGCAAATACTAAATTCACAATGCTCATCATAGCACAATGATTGATTAACAGGCAATTTCTGCAAGATGGGATAGAAGAGATGATTTCAATCCTTGTCATCAACTCATTGTCTAATGTTTTATGTGATTGGCTGTTTTCCTACTCTTATCGTTGAATTTGGTCAAATATGTATTTCCTTATTTATCTAAAATCTGTACTCTTTATTTTGAACTAACATACTACCTGTCAAAAATTACACTTTCTTCCTAAGATCAGTGGAATATTTGCTTACTGTAAAAGTGTTAGACACTTTTGGTACCAATCTTTCATTTATGCATGTCTGGTTAAAAACCAATGAAAGTTCCTTTTTTGTTTATTTTTGGCTTTTATTTCAGACCATTTTCCTGTTTCCAAACAGAACTTGAACATAAATTAAACAATTTCTTCTAAGCATTCTTTGCTTTCATGAGTCATTTCCAGATAGTTTCTTGTGGTATATCACTAGGAATGCATTGTTTCTTTGACTTTCTACTATTTGTCTTTGTGTGTCAGTAGATGTCACATTGTCATTTTGCAAGTACTCAGTCTTTACTGAGTAGTATTTTGTTTTGTTGTAATCATAAAGTATATCTACTGTTTTAAATGAAACTTAAACATAACTGATACTGTTTTTTGTTTTTTTTAACTCATCTCATATTAACAGTTGTTATTTTTTTAACATAGACTTTATATAATATAGTATTTTTGTATTATTGAAAAATATTTCTTGTATTTTACATTGGTGGGTCATATTCAGTTCATTGAATCTATTAACCAATAAATGACAAGTTAATCAAAGAGATAATATTGTGTTTGTGCATATAATATATAGGGTATTAAATTATCAAAGACTTTTTTAATTTTCATTTCATCCTTTTATTGTTAGTAGTGATCATGTGAAAGATCTTTAGTCTTTTGTAGTAAATAATGCATTTTTCAACACATTTTTCCTGATTTTTGATTGTGTACCTGGTTTCTGTAAGATAGTTTAACTTTTTTTCTGTCTCTTTGCTTTTGTTGTTTCATTTTTACATTTTGCTTCAATACAGGATGAAAATATTAACACCAACCTGTTGAAAAAATCTTCCATGTAGGTAAATGTTGCCTGCATTATAATATGCTAAGGCATACTGTGGATCAAGCTCAATGGCATATTTGTAGTCAGTCAATGCATCTCTGAGACATTTCATATACTGAAAGACAAATTTGATAATTAATTGTCCTAAAATAGAAAAAAAAATTACTTTGATAAACCAACAATTATTTTGTGGAACATGTATGTATATATATGCTCTCTAATTCATTAAAGAGGATTACATTCTCACAAAACTGGTCTGGAATCTGTTGGAAAACTAACTTTCTTTGTAGTATTAACACAACTAAGCTTTCAACTAGGAAGCTATCTTAAAATATATTAAATAAAAATAATAAAATTACTCCCAACAAGCAACAGAGACTGTTCCTGCCAGAAGTGCAGACAGACATCCCACCAAAAGACATACAATTCACTCTCTTTGTCCAAGAACTGTCATGATGACAACACTTGTATAACTTCCATTCATGATAGGACTTGTGATATTATAGAGTGACTTACTCCCTTTTATGACGTGAACATTATCACGATTGTAATGTAAAACAAAATGAAATTGCCATACAATTTGTCAGGCCTTCTCTGTACTTTATACAGCTATTTTTTCCTGTTTTTATATTTGCAAAAACAAGCCTACAATTCTACTATCATTACTCCTATGGTGTGAATGAATACACAACACAATTACTCAAAAATAAAGTTGTTATGATCATAATAAAAGCAAAGGGAAGAAGAAGTTTTGCCATGGTTTTTAAGTTTTATCGCCTGTTATAGAATCTTACAATGACTATGGAGACTATTTTGTTCAAGTGACTTTTCTGCTTGACTTTAATCTCAATGGAATTAATGAGTAGATAACCTGAAAATATATATACAAACATCAGATAAGTATATGAGAAAGGAAGCACATGCTCTCTCAAAATGAGTTTTGACAACATTTCAGAACACAAGAGATAAAGATGGAAGACTTGAGAGGAAAAACACTAAAACATTAAAGAAAAGGAAAATCTAGCAAACTAGTCGGAAACTGATAACTTACCAGTTCTCCAACTAATATGGCTTCACCCCACCCCTATAGATTCCCCACACAGAAACTTATATAAAAAGTTAATGAAATATGATTGGCTAATTAATATAATTCATTTATGCAAATCACAGCCTACCAACTCTGTCTAGTACACATGACTTCAAAGACACAATTTTGGAGAGGGCATTAATTTGATAATAATATAAAATGCCTTATATTTGGCCAATTTTTAAAAAGAAATCAAGATAAGTAAAAAAGTGATTCCTTATTTCATGCTGCAAGCAAGTATTTTGTAAAATATTTATTAAGAATAAAGAGGATACCTCAATGAAAACAAGTTTTCTACTGAAATAATCGGGCCATGCATTAAAATATAAATTACAGCCAAAGGCAGATAGATTTTTATAACACCCACTGGAAACACCATAAGTATCAACTCTATGGGCAAAAGCTGTTTCAACAGCAGGTAGAACAGTTCAATTTATTAAAACACAAGTTTACATTAGTTAAAGGCTATCAGTTCAATACTTGTGCTGGGTAGTAAATCTACTTATTTAACAATGTAACAGGAATGACTGCAAAAAACATTCCCCCACCACAAAATATATAGGCAAGACATGAGAGAGATGCATGCTCAGATTTCTTCTAAGCCAATAAGACAGGAAACTTTTTTTGTCTCTTTTGACTTAATTCTGTTCTTTCTTGTCTTCAAGTCAGAATTCTGCGATCATGTCTGTATCCATTTTTGAATGTTAACACCATTCTTACTTAAAACTTTTCACCTTATTACTGTTACTTTGAGGAATCCATTACATTCACTTACATGCTAATACCCTTGGGAAAGGGTATGAATCCTCTTCTCTCCCCAGCTATGGTTAAATAACAGGACATATTACGTTCAATAGCCTTGGATGGCAAGTAGTCTACCACAGAAAGAAATGGAAACCTACTGTGGGGGAAAAAAATCTGCCTCATCAGTCCTGTATTGAAAGATACATGATCAGCTAAACATGTATCATGCATGGCACATAACTGACTGGATGTTACTTTGCCTTGCATATATTGTTTGCTTGCTCAATATTATTTTTACCCTGTTCTTTCCTTTCTCTTGTTATATAGTCTATTGGACATTTCTGCCGATGACATTTAGCCATGACCAATTACTCTATGGATGTCAGGATGGGACAATTGGCAAAAGGAGAATTGCTGAAGGGACCCAGCAGAGAGAAGACCAAGACTGGAAAAAAGTTAGGTAACCAAAAAATGGCATGAAAATGTTAATTCTTTTGCCAATTATCAAAATTTGGATGCACATTTTGAAGGAACAAGACATGGTGTCTTTTATTTTACAGTTTATTCTTTAAACTTTCTATTTCATTATGGACAAAATAGGTGCTAGGTTAGGGGTCTCAATAAATTCTTTAATTTTCATCACAAACAACTGTTGGAACTTTTAAGGGGCCATTAATTTGGGGAAGATATTAGAATAAACCAGAAACAATACTAGCAGTAAACTGCCTGTATATGGTTAGAAAATGAGTTAATATACAAAAATAGTATGTGATCTAAGACAAGGATATGACTTCTCACCAGACTTATTCAACCTTTATGGTGAGGTGATTCTGAAAGAAGTGGAAATCCTAACTGCATTCTTTATTGGCAGCAACAATCTTAACATACCCACATTACATAATATTGATAGTAAACAGAGAAAATAAACTACAAGAGCTTCTACAGAAGGAAAGGACTAAAAATTAAATGCAACAAGATGGAATGCATGGTTGTTAGCAAAAAGAACATCCTCACATGCAAGTTACAACTTGAAGATACCAATATCAAACAACAAGTACAATAATTTAAATGTCTGGGAAGTGTTTTCACAGAGGATGCAAAGTGTGCCACTAAAATCCATAGGTGCAAGTGAATGAAAATGAGATACTAGTGAGGAGACACTACAACTTACAGGTAAATGTACTTATTTCAACAATAAAGGGATGAAACCTATTTGCCAATCTAGCAATACACTCAAATTCATGTTATTAAGGTGGAGAGCTCATTTGATCAATTACAAATATTTATACAAAATCCACAGAGAAGCCATGTCAGGACTGATAACATTATAGACTCTTCTTTGGATTTTGTCAAAAAATCTCAAGACATATAACAGGAGCATCAGAAGAGATGTGTAGCAATATTCAATACATGGACAAATGATAGATTTACAAACATGCAAGATAGATAGATAGATTCTGGCACAAGATTGTGAACCAACTTTCAAAGCAGCAGATCTAGAAACTGGTTTGATAGAATTATCCCATTTCATGTTTGTGAAAAATATAACTGAGGAGAAGACAGAATGAGTTATTCTCTTGGAGGATATCATTGATAGAAGGCAAAAATGGTTCTCTAAGATGACTAAAAGATTGCTTTTGGACGCATTAAAGTTTACAAGCCAAACTGTTTGAAGATCATTTCCAAAATCAGCAGCTAGTTTTGCTTTATTCAATCTATCAGACTTAAGAGTTGTCAAATAACAAACAAACAAGGTCCAAAGATTGTTCCTTGGTCAGTTTAAGCATTTGATCTTTATTCTTAACATGGTCTGATGCTTCTGCTATATATTCAAAGATTCTTGATAAAATCAGCAATATTATTGGGCCTGACTGGCATCTTAGTTTCAGTCACTTTCTTACCATTGTCATATTTCTATAAATACTTTCAGGATAATAGTTCTGAGGAGCTTTCCTCTTTGGTACCTAGACTTTTTGAATTTAAGCATACTACTAGATTGGAAGTAAGGTCTCATCATTTTACACTTGAATTTGCTAAATGTAACTATAAGATCTATACTAACAATTTCTTCTATCACACTTCTCACTTGTGGAACTTGTTTCCTATCTTTTGATTTCCTGTCAACTTTGATAATGATTGTATTTAAATTTTTCAAGTTCAGTATCTCCTGTCGTCACAATTCTTGTTCTTTTCTTATTCTCATTTCTTAATAATGTTTTCTTTTTCCCCATATTCTTTTAGCCTCAGTGACCCTTTGTGTCTTAGTGGCTTTATTACCCTGCTTGGTGCAAAATGATTAAAAAATAAAAATTATGTGGTCAATCATTTTATAATACCTGTAAAGCTCTAGTAGAATAGCTTTTATGGAAAACAAACTTCTTAAGGCTGAAAGAGATTGGTTTGTTTATACATAAAGAAAATGTGTGTTTGTGTGATTATTAGTTATTATGAATAGCAAGGAAAATCTTTCTGTGAGGACAGCAGTGGTAAGTCATAGCTCTCCACAGATTCCTACCTCTTCCAGCAATACCTTGCCTTTCTGCCTTCCTTGCTACAAATCTTTGTTTATAGTACTTTTCCTCCATCCATTTACTGTGACATTCCAAAGACGTTACTTATTGTTTTCCTTCAATAGGTCACATGAGTGGCCTTTTCGCTTTATATTTCCCCCAAACATTTCCACTGTTACTTTCTCTTCAATGATTTATTTATTTTCCTTAGCATGTAACAAATGAAACTGTCTTGGTTGTCAATCTTATATTTTTTTTTTTTTCTTCAATTTCTGATGAAATTGTCTTTCACTGCTGTGGGGAAAGGTAGCAGAACAGCATGCCTTTCGTTTACATCAAATGTTGCTTTCCAGAAATTAAAGGATCTGAAACTATCTTTGTTTGTTGCTATGTACCTTCAGATCTTTCACATTTCCATTATCTATTATTATGCTACCCATGGAGTTGGATTTCTGCATTTTTTTTTTATTTGGATCTTTCCAATTTCTAACTCTTGTTGGCATGTCTACATTTAATAAATGGCTGACAAAGTTTCCTCTCATGCAAATCCACGATAATATTACTGCTAATACTACAAGATGAAAAACAATACAAATGAAGATGACAGAAATACTAGAAAAAATTAATAATGACTGACAATGCTTCATCTAATAAAAATTCAAGATAATATTACTATTAATACATCAAGATGAAAAACAATACAAATGAAGATGACAGAAAAGCTAGTCAGAAATTAATAATGACTGACAATGCTTCAATCTAATAAATATCTAA